CTTACTTCTCATGCAAATCTGTGTGTCGTATGCATTATTCTGTTCTAAAGATAAAATAAATCAGAACACTATTTTACAGACGATTCAAGTCTACTCATCACCCCTTTCTTCATCTTCACTGATATATTTTTTTAGCCCAGCTCCTTACTTATTTAAAGAGATAAACTAAGTGTGATAGAAGCACAGAGAATGTAGTGACTGCATTGGTATGCAGTGGAGGAGGCTATTGGAGCTGGATTTTAAATTAAACAAGAGTGTTTGCTTCATCTATGTAAGGCACAGGTAGCCAAATGGCCATGCTATACTTCAGGAATCATGCAAAAGAACACCTTCCATTATAGGTGCCTAATAACTGTTGCTAGAAACCACTGGTTCAGCTTTGCAATTTTCATTCATTATTCTTAGGTTGCCTGATTTGGGTTTTTTTTTATTTGAAAAAATATAGGTGGATGTTAATATCTCTATGACAGGGTTAGAAATTCAATCAGATTTTAATGGATACCAAATTAACCTCAATTAGGACATCCTCATTGTCAAGATTTTAATATACTCAATTGCTGAGCTGAATGTTTATCACTTTAACAGTACATAAATAATGCCAAAATTAATGGAATAAAATTTTGATATAAATTCATATTCTCTTGAGATATGCATAATTTGGGGAATTTGAATTCTATTTTATATTGTTTTATCTCTATTACAAAGGATAAAAAATTCAGTCTTCTATAGATTCATCCAACATTTATTCATTATTAACCCACTTAACAAATACATGTTGAATGACAACTCCATTTTGATCACTTTGTATACTCTACTGGGTACCTGGGAAGGAAAATTCATAGCACACAGTCTCACCGAAATCTGCTTTGGCTCTAAACTAATGGTCTACAGCTTATAACTATTCATTTTTCTTTTTCTTTGGTCTTATTTTAAAGGACATATGCACTTGTCTGGAAATATAAATATATTTCTAGTATCTCTTAGGAATCTTGAAATTTTAGAAGTTATCACATACAAAATGTGTAGCAGTGTCATAAAGTACCTAGAACTTTAAAATTATTCTTATTACTATTGCTGCTACTACATTTATCACTACTCTATTATCACCAGTAGTGCAGTATCTAAGCCATGTATATGATGTTTAAATTTCCTAGATACTAGGCCCTGAAAAATTAAAACCATATGAGAGGGGAAGAGTGTGACATACAAGAAAATCCAAAAGTAGAGTTTGCAACCATTTTTTAAGTGCTACAAGCTTTGCTTCAACCTCAACCAGGATCTTGGAATTACTTGGGTAATATTTAGAAAATTTCTCTCAACCAATCTAAATAAAATTTTTATTTGCATAAGATTTTGGCCAATAGGTAAGTAGGAACCTTAATTTCATTAACATGGGTATATTTGCTATCTGAATGCATATAGCTTTATTCTAGAACAAAGAGAAATTTGAGCTCTTTCCCCTATCACATTCACTTTCTCTTAGTTTTAGTACTGATGAGTTTATTTAATAAACTGAATTAAATAGAGGCCAACCAAAGCAACTTCATTGTTTCATATTATTAGAATGCCTTAAAAATATTACTTCAGCCCTGTGATATTTTGGGTTTTTCCCAGTTTCTTCCTTGTCCTTTTCAATAAGGAACTAATTATTTCATTTTCTATTAATATGGAAAATTACAGTCCCATCTAACATTAAATCTTCAATCTCTCATCCAATTCAAACATTTTTTACTCTTGAAGCTTAGTTGAGAGAAATCTTACCCTTCCCTCCTTTCCTTTCTAATCTCCACCTGCATCTACACACTCTAGTATCAGGGATCTTCTGAGGGATGGAATGATGTCTGAGTCTTGGCTTCTCTAATAAAGTATCACAAAATGAGTGGATCATAAATGACAGAAATCTATTTCTCACAGTCCTAGAGGCTGGGAAATCAAAGGTCAAGGCAGATTGGGTATCTTGTGCAGATCAACTCTGTGGCTCATAAACGGTACCTTCTTGCTATGTCTTCATGTGGTAAAAGAGACTAGCTAGTGCTCTGGGATCTCTTACTACAAGGGTGCTAATTCTAATCCTGAGAGCAGACCTCTCCCAAAGGAGTAATACCCTTGGGAGTTAGACTTTCAACTTGAATTTTGGAGAGAAACAAACGTTCAGTCCATTACAAATGGAAAGAGGGAATAGAAACAAAGGCTACAAAAGTCCAACTTGACTGGGTACATATGCAATCTGGCTTGGGAGTAGCTATACAAATATTGAGTCTTCCTCATGAGTTCCTTAGAGATTACTCGTTTCCCACTGGCCTCAGTTCCCAGTCTATATTGCTCTTTCCACCAAATCCTTGGATTCCCAAAATCCTCTTTTCCTGTTTAAGGTTTTCATGTTTTTCTAAAACAATTCAGAATCATATTTCTTTGTTAGAATCCACATTTGGCCCTAGGAAAGCATATCTTTGCTCCATCATTGGTGGAATTTTGGTACTTTAAAAATATCCTAAAAGAAAGGCCCACTAAATTTGACATTTAGACTGTTTTTGGACATAAGTCAGGTACTAGTTTCTGAATATCTAAAATTTATGAAGACATCAGAGTAGATCTCAATAACCTTCTCTTGACATCTACTTCTACCTTCATTGCATAGAGAGATGAGGAAGAGTGAAATATTGGCTGATTTTTGAGGGGTCATGTCTCAGATAGTTTTGCAATGGCAGTCTGACATATCATTTCTAAGTTACAAAATAATATTCATATACATCCTTTGTTCCCTTAGCCAAAATAAAGAAAAAAATTGCCCCTGTTAACACCCAGAAATACAAAATAATTCATGTTATTTCACCTTTGTTTGGAAGAAAGATTGTGTCTTACATGTATTTTAATGATTCCACCAAGGAGTACAATGTGTCACATATCTTATATGCTCAATACATATTAACTGAATGATTATATGGTTAGGAATAGCTTTACCATTTCTTTTTTCCACCAAAACAGTCAGGGTCCTCCTTGGTTGGAAAGATACAGGGTACTCTAACGGTTTGACTAAAGCAAGGTCGGAGAATTAGATATACTCCTTGGGTAGAGTTAAAAAAGGTAAACATGTTGGCATTAGCAAGAGTGAGAAGCCATGGGGGAATGTTATGCTCCTAAAGCATGAAGGATCCTGGTGTAGAGGAGCACAGTGATCTGACAACATCCAAGGTCACAGTAGAACGTATTTGTTTTCAAACCAATAGCAAGACAGAAAAGAAATATGGACATGGATCTGAAATGAAAAATATTCATTCTCTTTTTCCTCCCATTCTCCATTCTGTCAGTGCCTTACACTGGCTGAACTCAACTGGAGGCCAGATGCAAGAAGACCTAAGCCTTGCCACCTTGAAGGCTACAGAGCAGGGTGGAGAAATCCAGGTAGAATCATGGGAAGAGGTAGGCAACAGAGAACAACAGCATGCTGCTCTAATTTTAAAAATTCAAAGTAGAAAAAGTAATCCATTGAGAAAAATATTATGGATAGTGGTCACATGTGGTAAAAATAGTCATTAAGTGGTGCACTCCAGTTTCATTATAAATATATTTGGAGGGAAATTTGGGGGGTTTAAGCTTTGATTTTTGTTTTTTTTGCATATATAGTGTCTTATAACTTTATGTGTATAACATGATGAGATAATGCTAAAAGAAAATAAAGGAAGAAATGTTGGATGAATTGAGGTCCGTTTGCAAAATATAGGTCCTATTGTGGGCCATGAATTTGGTTCTAAGATTTCTTGCAGTCAAGTTCCAAAAAATACTTCTCTTATACATTTATTGAATCTCTAAGAGGTTTTCTAGGTGTTAGAGATACAACGGGGAGCAGGAAAAGAAGGTCACACAGAATTTATATTTTAATGGGAGATACAAAAGTAAAAAAGAAGACAAATATGTAAGGTAAAATTAGGTTGAGAAATATTAAGAAGGAAATACAATATGGTAATGGGACAATGAGACTTGGTGAGCTTAACTTATCATGCCAAGAGAAGAAAGCCTTCTTCAGGAATGTTATTTGCACCAAATCTTCAGTGATAAGAAAAGTTGCCCAGGCTGGGTACGAAACTGTGATACTCCTGCCTCAGCCTCCCAGAGTGCTAGAATCACACGTGTGTGGCACCATGCCTAGCTTCTTTCTCTTGGATGCTAATACTATTGCATTAAGGTTTCACTTTCATAATCTCATTTAACTTTCATTAGCTCATTAAAGACCTTATATCCAAACACAGTCACGTTGTGGCTTCAACATATGAATTTTGGGGGTATGTAGTTCAGTCCAAAACAATCACAAGCCACTTGAATGGAAGAACTTAACATAATTTAAGAGAAACCATTAAAAATGTCAGGTTTCAGGTGATTTGACACAAATCTCATCTCCTAAAGAAAGATTAAAACAGACTCACGGTGTTACAGAGACTTCCACAGACAAAAACACAACGTCATCTGAGAGCCTATGTGTCTCTTACTCTAGAGATTCTAAATCTGAAGATTTGAATCTGTTGACCAAGTAAAAGTAAGTACCAAAACTGCTTTCTTCATTTGGCTTCCATTTCTTATTACGGTGAAACAAATTCTTTGGAAAATTGCAAGGTAAGTAGGCATATTATCCTTCTACATGATAAAATGTCCAATAAATAAATATAACTAATAGAAAGAAAAATGTTACAATTTTATCATCAGATTGTTGCCAAAATCCAGTCTCTTATCACCACCTGCACTGGTTCTGAACTGCTCCAAATTGTCTTCATTTGTTCTCCTGATCTCCACACAGGTCACCCACCTGGTCATTCGTGCTGTGCACTTGCCTCATTTTCAGAGAGCGGCTCTCTACAGCATGAGTCAGGCAATATTATTTTTTTCAAAACTTTTTAATGGCTTTCAGCTTCACTCAGAAAGGGCTTTGCAAAGATTCCAAACCCCTGTGTCATCTATCCCTCATTATATGCTTGGCTTCATCTTGAAAAGAGCCTTAGCCCACGGGATATCGTTTCTAAATTGGCATCTTAGCTGTACTTTTAATTAGCTCATGGTTTCTGGTGATGAGGTTTATTTTAGGACAAGTAGACCCAAGTTTGTGTTATCCATTGTTATGCCTCTCTCAGTGTCGACTGTGTCTCTTGATCAGACATGTTATGAAGAAACTTGTCACGATAAACCACAAGTTGTGAGTCCTTTAATGATGACACTGGCTGTGATGGTCCTAGTGGTAGGTAGGAAAACAAACCCACAAAAAGATCTCAAGTTAATATTAATATTGGAATCATTTCTTAAAGAACAGAAGGTCTGATATAATTGACTTTCTACTAAGTGACTGGCTGGTGTAAATCAAGGGCTATCACTATGACAAGTCAGATACTCATAAAAAGCAGTACATTCATCAGCTTTGCTGAATGAAAAGTCTGTGCTGTTGAACACATGCTTAGCCTCTCTCCTTACCACCATGGCTTTTTGGTTCTTAGAATCTTTGTGTATGTACAGGAGTGACCACACACAGACTCCTTGAATCATTTTAACTACCTGGTTATGCAATAGCTTCCATTCAACCTATGCTCCCTGGGATATCTTGAAAAATATACAGGCTGGATTCCTTCCCACATGTCTACCACAATAAATTTTCAGCAGAGTTCTGTTCTTCTGGTCCTCAAATTTTGTCTCTTCTGAACTGAAAAACAAGTCAGGATGTTTGACCATCTAGAAGCCCTATTAATATTTGTACTGCAGGACATTTCCGTCTCCAGATCAAGGTGGTAACCGGATGTGTTCCTTGAATCTGGGAGAATTTCACCTCATCGCTGCTTTTGAGGACACCCATCACCGGGACCCTGACGAGTTAGCAGTCTAGTTTGGCTTGCAACAACATATTGAGCTGAATTATGCACGAATCAGGACTGGATTGCGTTTCTTTACTGTCAGTTCATCACAAAGCCACAAATATAAGCAAAAGAAGAGGGAGAACCCTAACATAGATACAAGACGTGAAGTCAGATAGTGTAATTTATATCAATTGTAATGGCCTTTTTGTTCCCTACACATGTATGATTTGTGTTTGACAGTGCTCTTGACAAGGATACCTGGTTATGTAGCCATTTGATGTCCCACTGATGTCTTTTTGTTATGCTCCTTGTCTTTGTCGGGCCCAGTGGCTTCTGGAAGATATATTTTTAATTGTTACCTTGCTGGATGGGAATAAATCTGAGCTGTAAATCCATTCATTATTTGACCTCCCTCACTCCCCACTCTGGTAGGATAGTAAACCATAGCAGTATTTGGAGTCCCAGAGGTTTAATACTGTTTAGATTCATTGACAATAGTCTTTGAAAATTTAGGTATTTCCCTTGTTTTATCTAGTGCATGACTGCCTTTGTAGGGTAAGGCTTAGAGAAATATATATATATATTTCTGGCAGTAAAGCAGGGTCTTTCCTCAAGGAGATCTGGCCTCTCTTTTTATCCTATCTATGGGGTGGCTTTGGATGAGAACAGTGTGAGGGGCTGTGACTTAGTTTGCTCTGAGAGATCAACTAAGGCGTCAGTAGAATGTTCACTTACAGCAGTCTGGAGCCACTATGATCATTCAGCAGTCTAAGCATCCAGTTTATTGCTCTGGCCCTGTGCATCCACATATCCTGGAATAATTGGCAAAATCTTGAAATTCTCTGTCTTTGTGGTACTTTTTTCTAACTATAATCCTCCTTTTTGTCTCTTGCTTAGATTTGAATGTAGAGTTAATGAGAAGCAGTAAGCGTGGGTGATGGGGAGGATCAGCAGTTCTCAAGACCACAACTGCACGGGCAATTACTACAGGTTCTTTAGGCAAAGGTAAATTGAATGTAGATTGCAGAGCGTGGGCTGCTTTTGCAAGGAAGGAAGGCTTCGAGGAATTTGAACTTCATGGAAAACTCTCAAAATGTTACCATCCCAATTTTAAAGAGTCCCTTCACCTAGCTAAATGTTAGCTGAGATTGTTTCTCTCAGTTCACAGTCCCAAAGGAAGAGGGAAAAGCGATAGGCTAAGTCCACACCTTACTTCATACATCATACACCATCCAATCCTCTCCCTGACGCTCGGCGTCTTCCAACTGTGGTGGTTATACCAACATAACACTCGATGGCAGATGATGATCCAATAGTGCACCCTTAAGTCTTTAACATTCATGTGTATATACATCCATATATGTGATATATATTATACATACAATCACATGAAAGCAGGGAGCGTCACCTCAACATTTCATTATTTTTTTCTTCTTGTTTGAAAGAGGAAGAGAAAGGAATTACCGGGAAGAAAAAGAAAAACTAGATTTAAAGATTTTACTAATAAAATAGACGCTTTTCTAAATTCAATTTTACTATTCTTGCTTTTGAAACAAGGCTTAGAACTGATATTCACTGGATCATTCTTTACTTCGCTGTGCTGAGACTTCACCTTACCCTTTCTCCTCACCAGTATATTGTATACACTTCTTGAACTATACCTTCCTCCAGTCTGACCATTTCCATTACGTTACCTATTCAATTTTTTCGTAAATCTGTAGTTATCCCTTGTCATCCTCCCTGTTAACTATGATATTGTTTGATGTGAGGACAGTTCTGGTGACGAGCTGCATAAAAGGCCCCAATTAAAAGCCCTTCCTACACCCATGCCATTTGTCATGTGACTGTGCTGTTCTTCTAGTGTTTTATTCCTGTGGCTAACAGAATAAGGTAGCATTGAAGGTGTGCTGACCCCAGGAGAGGCCTTGGCTATTTCTACTTGTCCTCTTGTACTTTCTGCCATTACCCTAAGAGGGGTAAGTCTTTGCTAGCCAGTGCCCTTTCAACAGGGCTGCCCAAGAATAAATACAAAGTAAAACCTTCTGTACATGTGTTAGTAGAAACCGCAACAATCAACCAAGCCAAATTTGAAGAAGCAGCAGCCTCGTCTCGCCTAGACTAGTGAACTTCCCATCGACCCAGAGACATATATAAATAAACACTTTTACTACAGTTTACTTATTTATGTAATTTTTTGTAGCAATACCTAGCTGACCCAATGGCAAATATGTAAAGATTTTCAACCAACTCATGTCCCACCTCACCTCTTGCATTATTATACATAAAATGACATCACCATAAATAGTACAAATATTGCAGAACATTATGTGGCATCTAACACTGAAAATTTTTTTTTCGTGAGGCCAATTTTTTTAGAGTGAAAAAACTTGCTTAGAGTTTAATTATTTTTTCCTTAGGTTAAATTATACCACCATTATTGATTTAGTTTCTTATTGTTTCAAATGAAAAGTGTGTTCCTCCTTTAGATATTTTTACCCCCAAAATTTTTAGATTGATATTTTGAGCGCTTTAATGAATGTAACCATTGGATTATGTTGGCAGAGTTCATATAGTTTTTATTGTTTAAATCAATATGAAGAAATAAAACAGCTTTAGGACCCACGTGTTACTGTGTCCATTTATCTTTCAAATATTCTTGTTTTACTTATGGTGAAGTCCGAGTCATTCAATGAGAAATGGATGATTTTCTAACACAATAAAGACATCTTGGATACAGTACAGTTGGTGGTGAGCAGTGTGTCTGATCCTATAAGGAACTTGTTTTGTCAACAATGTACTAGATTCTAGAGTGTGAAATTGTGGTTTCTACTTCATATGAACACGTCCTGCAGCTTTAAAGTTTAGTAAACTAATTTCAGTTCTTGACTTAAAGTACTGCTGAGATGTACTTCATTTCTCAAATTCTCTTTCTCTAAATATATTAAAGGTTACATGAAGGTCAGGTTTTGCTCATTTCTCCTCCCTCTAAAGATATTCACCTGACTGCTTATTTATCTCTTCCTTGCAACTGGTGTCTGAAATCTCACTCTTTCCCAGCCTCCTTACTGTCATCCTTCATTTTTTTTTACCTCCTCTCAGTTTTTTGATTGACCAATATTTGCGACAAAGAATTTTAATAATCTTGATCCTTTACAAAATGGAATAAAAATAACTTTTCAGAATAAAATAATGTAATAACTGTCTCATGGAATTATTGTAAAATTAGGGCATGAATCTCTCTGCACACCTTCATATTCAACTCAGGGTGCCTATGTTCTGCTAACCACTCAATCTCTTTGCTGTTCAACCAGTCCTCATTTGTCTATTAATTATATGTTTTGGGATGAATCTCTGTGGAAAAGAAGCTTGGTAATGTAGCAAAGAATGACTGACTTGGATGGTGTTTGTGGAATATCTCTACAATCGTGAGCTTCACATTGACTTTACAAAATATGAAAAAAATGGTCTTCTTCAAGAATAGCTCAGATTCATTGATCACTTCTTTTGTATCAAATTCAGAACATCTCTCCAAACATTATTATTTACTCTTATTTAGTCAGTGAGGAACTTCAGGGACAGAAAGCCTAGTTATCTTGCTAAAAAAGTATGGATTCCAGGAAGATGAATTCCAAACCTAGGTTTCTATGACTCTGGAGTCTACATCTTTATGCTTCCTTCCAAAACTTTAAATCTCTTCCACTGAAAGTAGCAGAAAAAATTCCACTCAAATCAAAAGAATCTTCACTAAAACCATCTAACCAGTACCATAAGTAAGGCAGCAGAGACACATACCGGAAGACACAGAAAGTTTAGCAGACAGAAATAGTCAAACAGGATGATAAGAACAACTTGTTTACAAGCCATACCAAGAATATCTGGGGGCAAAAAAAGTACAGTACTTTGACTGTGAATAACTTGTTCTGTGACTGTACCACAAGATAAGCAAGCATTTCTAATACATTTTAATTTGATAAACAAGCGACATCTTGCAATACAAGTAGTGTGTGATACCAAACATCACACGATCACTCCCCCTGCGTGCAGCTGCAGGATTGTGGGTGTTCATCTCCCAACACCAAGAGGCTATGGAGAAGATCTCACCTGCACAGGAGGAGCAGGGAAGGCAGCAGAATCCTTCCCTTCAAGTGAAATTAAGAAAATGTGCAAAATGTGGGACACAGTTCAAAATTTTGTAGAAAAGCACCACCAGAATAAAACAGTAGCCATGTGAATGACGAATGTGTTTAATGACAATGCAGTGTCACATGTCCACGAAATCCTCCAAAGAGGCAAAATCAAGTGTCATTGGATAGGTATCTTGTTAAAGGTGCACAAAAAGAGAAAGAATAGATAGCAGTGATTCTGTTAGTGATGGTGAAAGTCGTCCTACATGATAAACCTCTTCTCTCGTCTCCCTCACCTCAGCCATGAACACTTTCAAAGGTAAATGTAGATTATTTTTCTTTATATTTTGTATTTTCTTTATTATTTTGAATTATATTACATGCAGTACTACAATCATTTTTATATGAATATTTTTGGGTTATGGAAAGAATCACCTGAGTTTTCATGATTTCTTATAGGGAAATTCCCTTTGATGTACAAGTGTTTTGGATTACAAGCATAATTCTGGAACAAATTATGCTTGCAAACCAAGATTTTACTGTAAAATATTTTTAAATATTTAATACTCTATTTGAAGAGAATAAGATTAACACAGTAGACAAGCTGTCAAGAAGTGATACCTGGTCAGTTTGCAAAGGGTTAATTGAAAATACGTTCTATAATAATTGAGAAAAATAAAGACTCCTGTAGGAAGTGGTGGAGAAAAAGAAGGCTCAGAAAAGAGAAACAAAACAACTTAGCCAGGGACTAGTAAGACAGGCCAGTAAAGGAAGAGAAAATTGCTCACAAAGATATTATTTGTTACTTAATTTATGGAGCATGTGATATTCACACAAGGAAGAGCTATATTAAGCTACCATTCTCGAGTGGATGCTGTAGAATAATAATAACACATCATTTAACTCTTACTACTTGCCAGGCCCTTTTATGAAACTCTTGCTACTTTAAGTGTGATTCAGCACGATCTAGAACTAAACAGTCAGAGTTACAGCCATGCTTCCTGAAAGAAAATTTACACTTAGAAAAAGAATCTCAGATGATTAAAAAAAAAATACACCAGGGTTTGGGAAGCAGAGTATCAGAATATTTTACTTGGTTAACCCTCACCACACCAACATGGGAAGGTAATATTATCATCTTCATTTGTGCATGACAGAACTGGGGTACACAGATAATCAGTAACTTGAATTAACTCCCTGCAGGCAGAT